CCAAAAAGGCCAGCCTGCTGCTGCGTGTCGACTTCCCTCCCTGCAGCCTCATTGCATTGTTAACATGTAAATCAACTTAAATGCTGTGGGAATCTGTCAGGGTTTGTATGTCATATAAACTTTGTAAACTTTTAAAATCATATCTATAATTAAAGAATCTTCCTCTTGTTTTTTTTCTAATTCTGTTTTCTTCTCTTCTCTTCTCTGCTTAAACTTCCATTTGTTCTTTCAGACATTGCCCTAATCTTGCATCGTATTAGCTTGTGCACACATCCATTATAGCCAAGCTATTAATTATGTATTTGCCTCTGCTGTTTGATCTAAATTGATTTGGACAAGGTTAATAAATGGAAAATGATGTCTTAGAACAGGAAAGAGAGATAGTAATGATTTCTCTTTTATTTCCCTGTTTTCTGTCAAACAAAAGAAGACACACATGCCTCACTTGTAATATCTTTTCACGACTCATTATAGCTGGCTGTTTTTAAAATATAAAACAGCTCTGCACTCCCTCTCACTCAGTCCACCATTCATCTCCTGGTTGTACCTTATAGCTTACTGTGCAGATGTCGATGTCAAAGACATCCTAGGACAACACACACACACACACACACACACACACACACACACACACACACACGCACACACACACACAAAGAAGGCAGAGAGCCTCTGGCCGGAGAAGTGCAGACAGGAAGAGACGGTCGTGAAAATCAAGTATATTGATTGAGGAGGAAGTTGAGAAAGTGAGGCAGACACACATAGTCTGGAGGAAATCAGACAGAGGCAGCAGATAGAAGATAAGTGAGCCAGATGCAGGAGGAAATAAGTGAGTGGAAGAAGAGGTAGAAGGCTGAAGTAATAAGGTGACTGTCTGCAGAGTTTTTGTGGACCTTGGAAAAAACTACAATTAAATGTATAGAAAACCCAGAGATGTGAAGGGATAAATGACCCACAGAAAATGACTGACATTCTGATTTTCCACATGCAGTCCCTCTTTCAGTAATAAGGTCTAAATCAGTTGTTTATGTTTGGAAAATTGAGACTAGTCTGCATGAGATTTTTTTTTTCATAAACATACAGTATCTGCAACTGTAAAAAATATCTACCCTTCAGACCTTCAGACATGTCTCCTATGGACTGATCTGTCGTTTAGAAAATAAATTGGTGAACACATAGGATCATAGGGACCTATAGAATAATGAAAATAAAACAATTTCAACAATAGTAAGCCTTTCTTCCTCTTCTTATCCTTTTACCTCTCTCTCTCTCTCTCTCTCTCTCTCTCTCTCTCTCTCTCTCTCTCTCTCTCTCTCTCTCACACACACACACAGACACACACACACACACTGGTCTCCTCAGGATATCCTGCTGTTTTGGTACCCTGTTTGCCACCCTCAGTCCAAAAAACAGGATGCACAAGTGTGTGGCTATGTCTTTTTTTGTTGTTAACTGTATGTTTGTGTTATATTAAAAAGGAGCACTTCCACCTCACCCAGACTTCATACAAAGGGCAGAGGGGTTGCCATAGCAACGTGCAGTTCAGGTGGTTGTCAGGTGATGACAGCATAGAAAGGAGGATGGAGGAATGAGACATCCTGCAGAGAAGAAAAAGAAAAGAGCTTTGGAAAGAGAATAGAGAGGAAAAACAAAAAGGAATGTGAGCTAAACAAAAAAAAAAACCCTAAGGAGAGGAGGGAAAGAGGTGGAATAGAAAAAGAAGATGCAGTCAGAGAGGGGAAGAGGGCAAGCTAGAAAGAAGCAGTGAGGGGAAGGAAGAACAAGGATCAGAAATCCTCAAAGTCAGCACCTCAGTGATGCTGTGAAATGTCAGTCACGTGTGGTGTTTTTCAACATTAGTCATTGCCTAATCACTGTTTACAGATTCTACATTAAGATGTCGGATCTGTAATCAAGGGGTCTGAATTTCCAGCATACAGCTTGTTTCTGCTGTAGTCCAAGCTGTGAGCAATAAAGTATCAGCAGGCTTTGGTGTGTGCAGGATAACAATATGGAAAGTGTGAGTGACATGGGAGGTCCATCCAATGGCCACACTTCATCATCTCAAGAGTGATCATCATGCACCTTTAAGAGGTGCTTTGGAGCTTCTCAGGCTCACGAGTTTATCATGAATATGATTCATTGCTCCTTAAGGCAAGCACTCATGTCTTCTCTTCTCTTTTATTTTATATTTTCAAATCAGAAGATGTTTTTAATTTCTCTGTTGCTTTTCATTTTGCATCATTGTGTTTTGTTTTCCTCTTTTTTTTTGTTTAATGTTTAATGACAGTATACAGGCTGCACAGATTATCACAAGTATAGTTCTAAAGGACACTAGAGAGAACAAACTGACACTCGCCCTGCTGTCAGTTCAAAATAAACGAGAGCAACCTAGAATAATGCTTCAGGACTTATTGTTGCTTTTTTTTAAATGAAACTGTGACTACAACACACAGGTATGAACCTGATGCCATATGTGTAGCAAAGCCATTTAAACTCCTTGACTACTGTATACAGATCAGAAATGATCGATCCAATATCCATTCAACAAACAAGCACTTTAAGTGTTGTTTTCTTCCTCTCTTGAGGACAGACTTGACCAAGCTTTCATTTTTCTTTTTTGCAAATCTGCATCATGCTGTTGTTATTTAGGCAAACTTAAAACCTGGTATTTGCAAGTAAATAACAAGAAAATCTTGTGTAACTATCCTCAAGTATTGAAGTAAAACGCACAAAGAACTGATGCACAGACGGTGCTATTCCGGAGGATGTAATGGACCAAGAAAAATGACAGCGTTTACGTTGCAGATGTGAGCACATAGCTCCTGTGAGGAAGAAGGATGACTGACAGAGATTAAAATATACAGCGGAGTGAACATGTGAAACAATCCTGAATGAATAGCACCAAGCAAAGGGTGGAAGGACATGCTATGTATCAACAAGGGGGACTTAATGAGGGCCAACCATGATTTCCAGTTGGATTTTATTCAAGACGGCTTTGAGCTTTTCCTTTACTTTTTGGAAAGGGCAGTAAGACAACTCGTTCTGCGTGTTTTATGGTTTTTAAAAAAAAAATCTGATTAATTATCAGACAATGTGAATGAACCTCGACATCAGAGTTAAAATCAAGCTGTCAAATCATTCCTCCTCCTGTCAGCCTGCCAGCTCACAGTCGGTGGTTGTCTCAGCTGTCAGTCACTGTCCTCATTTAACCCCCACTCCAGCAAACACACACACACACACACACACACACACACACACACACACACACACACACACACACACACACACACACACACTCAAACCCCAACAAATGAGTGCTGTTTATTCTGCAGGAAGGCATTTAAATCCCAGCCGCTTTTATTTAAGTTTTAGTGCTCTTCACATACAAACTCTTTCTCGTTAACTTTTTCTCACCAAAACTACCTAAACCCATTCCCCCACTCCCCAGAGAGAGAGAGAGAGTGTGTGTGTGTGTGTGTGTGTGTGTGTGTGTGTGTGTGTGTGTGTGTGTGTGTGAGGCTGGCACCTCTTAATTATTTCTTTCAGTGGCCTTGTTAGTAATAGGTTATCTTTTCTTCATGTAAGCTGCGTTTCTTCATGTGCCTCAACATATGTCCCTCACTGGCTGCCATTCACCAAAAACAGGAGCGCTGAGAAGATAACAGGACAGTTGTTTTTAGATCAAGCTTTGACATCCTTGGCTCATGACTTCCTCTGGCTGGTGGGTTCCAGGGGTCACTCCGCCAACGTCACCCGCAGGACACATGATGCGCGTCAGATGCTAGGAGCTGAGTTTCAGGTCCAGGGACAGAGAGAAAGAAGTTGTGTATGTTTTTTGAAGGCCTAACTCACCATCTGTGAGAGGTGAAAAGGGCAGGATGAGAGAGAAGGTAGAAGGTGATTCAATAAAATATGTATAACAAGAGATGGAGATAGAGGAGTGGAAATTTGAAAACAAGCAACCAGCTTGAGGGAGTGAGTGAGAGACAAAAGCAGAGAGTTGATTATAGAAAGATTTGAAAAGCAGACCAGAGAGATTAGCTTTACATACAGACGAAGATGACTAGTGATGAAATAGATACAAAGAGAATGTGGCTTATTAAGTTTGTCCCTGAGTTCTATTTGGATGCTGTAGTTGTTATTAATGAGGATTAACACACTCACTCACACTCATCTGGAGGCACACAGAGGCCAGTGAGTCTGTGAGTTGTCACTACTGACACAGTGACCCAGTCCAGAAGATGTAGGTTACACTTTTTTTTTTTTTTTTTTTTTGCAAGCCCTCTGGTTTTTTTTTGTTGCTCGTACTCACAGGAGCTAACTGGGGATTCGCTGATGCTGACGCAGAGCTGATCCATTTTAAAGTGGGATTGACTGAGTGCAAAATGCAGAGACTTTGTACATGGAACAGAAATATAACGCTCAAAGGAAACAACACATTTAAACAGTAATAAGAACATTTAAAATCAGCTTCCGTAGAGCTGTTTATACTCAGGGGAGTTGCATAAGGAACTAGGCTAGTCAAGTCTTAGCTTAGGTCTCATTAGTGCTTCGTCTTACAACCCAAGAAAAATACTGAAATATATGGTTTAAAGTATGTAATGTTATAGATACTAAATGATTGCAGACAGTTTGTTTTTATGCTTTGGCTGGTTCACTTTTATTGCATCATTTTTCAAATCTCGCTGCATTCTTGTATTTTCAAAATACCCAACAGCAATGTCAGGAACATTTTGCTAAAGGTATATTTATTTGGAATAGCTATGCACCTTGCTAAGTTCACTTATTGAACTATTCCATGGGTTATGAAAAAATATTTGTTAATTAGGGGTCATGGTATAGATCTAACAATATGCTCCATTGTGAACAAATGAATTAAATCTTCTAATGACATAATAACTACTTATTTGATTCTATGACTTCTTACACAGTATCAGCATATAGATACTATTAGCACAGTGTTTTTAAGTGCCCTATCTTGACTTTTATGATTTCAGGCTCTGCAGAAGTTAGCAAGCCAGTACCTCAAGAGAGACTGGCCTGGAATCAACCCTGATGACCAGAGAACAGACTACAGGTATGAGTGTGTGTAAACGTTTGTAAGTGTGCATATGAGATATTTATGCATGAATGCAGCTATATATCCATGAAGCACTGCTAAACTCATTTCAGGCCTGCAGCCATTCTAAATAGTGTTGTTGCACCTACAGTCTGTTGCTGCACTCATAAGAAATGTGTGCTCTGCTAGTTTCTAGAAAAAAAATCACAGTATGGGTTACAGCACATTTATGAGTCATTATTTACTGTACCACAGGCTCTGAAATATAAAACCTCCAGCTGAATTCAACTGGCACTAAGTCCACAGATCTCACTGGTATTAGTTTTTTGTTTGTCTTTTTCTAGCTACTGCTGCAACTTTTCTGCACAAATATGTTCCCCTTTCAGGTGCATAAACAGTTTCTAACGCCCACAGTAGCAACCACACAGCGGTCTGGGGAATTTAGGAAATTAGCCACGCTGCAGGAGAACTTTGTTTTCTAAACAATTACTCTTCAGACGGCAAGTTTTTAATAGCAATAAACCAGCATTTTTTTTCCCTTTTCTCTCCAAATAGAAATGTGTATGCAGTGTGGAGGTCCTACTTAGAAGGTACAGTGCAGGTGAGCCAGTCCAGGCTCAACGTGTGCGACAACTACAAAAGTCAAGTATCAGAGCCGTCCAAGACGGTTCGACTCTACAAGGAACAGCAACTGAAAAAGGTGAGTGAATGTGTCGACAGTGGAAGTTACTCATAATTTCCCGAAGCAATCTTTGTTCTCCATCCCTCTCTCTCTCTCTCTGACATCCGTCCATTCAGTAAGCATGACTCATGTCGGTCTGCTCTCCTCTCTCTCTTACAACCTGCCTGTTTTCTCCTTTTATCCTTCACAGACCATAGATCAGTTGAGCGGTATTCAAACAGAGCTGCAGGAGTCGGTGAAAGAGTTGGCCAAAGCCAAGAAAAAATACTACGACTGTGAGCAGGTCGCCCACGCTGTACGAGAGAAGGCAGACATAGAGGCCAAGTGAGTTCACCATGACGCAGTGCATTTGTGTGTGTGTGTTTTGGTCGGGTTGTGTGAAAAAATAAAAAAAAATACTTTGACTAAACAGACGGCCCAGATTGTCAGAAAGAATAACAGCAAGAGAACAATGCTGGCTAACCTCACAAAGTGTGTGCATGTGTGTCAGAAAGAGAGAGAGAGAGAGAGAGAGAGAGAGAGAGAGAGAGAGAGAGAGAGAGAAATCGTATCATGAGGGCTGAAAGACGCAACCAGTTACAGACTAATAAGTGTTTTTAATAGTTGGATTAAAAACAAAAAATACAAATTCTAGGACAAGATAAAATACAGAATTTTAGTGTTGCAACATTAGTGGATGCACTGCTCTTGGTCTGGATCAGAGCATACATCAAAATCTGAATCACATCTGTAGGCATTTAAAATGTAAAATATTTCTTGGTGGTTCCTTTCTGTTAAGAATAGAAAAAAATCTCAGGTACAAGTTCAAACTTTGCAGTACAACAGTTAACAAAAGTTAGATCCAGTCCTTGTGAGTGTCGGTTTCCCTCCACGTCTTAGCAAGCAGCAGCCATGGTGACATTTTTGCTTCAATGGATTCCTGACTGCAATCGATCGCCCGGTCGACTCTTTTCTGTTCTCTATCACTCAGACACAGAAATGACTGCATTGCTGCTATTAGTGTGTGTTACAGGGTTCGTGGAGAACAATGTAGAAGCATTAGTCATTGTTGGGCACAAGGAAGGAACACACAGAAAGAAAGCGGTGTGAATGCAGAGACACAACACACACTTACTACATGGAGTAGCTCTTGGCGCGTAAAGCGGGATAACTTAAATAGAAACAGACCTCACGTCCTCACACATGTATGCAACATTAGACCAACATTATCTCACGTTCTTAATTTAACGTGTGAGGATAATCAAAAACACACAGTGAGATTTAGCATATATAAGCACAGTAGCACAGAAAAGCAGACAACACACACACACACACATGCACACACACAGGCTCACTCCATCATTTTACATGGTGGGTCTTTTTGATGTCACCATTGATATAAATCACGATGGCTGGATCAGGCAGCGATTTATTGCTGTGAAGCTGCAGCCTGTTCAGGGTCAATATACGAGGGCTGCTCTGAATCAGAGGCTAGAGATCAGAGTTATGATGCCGTAGAAAATGCCTGGATCGTTTTCTCCATCAAACATTAACTTGACGTTAATTTATCTTTGATTGGATCCAGATTGTGTGGAGTTAAATGCCAACAGTGCTGTTACGATTTTCGCATTTCGACTTAAAATTAGATTTTGATACATTATTCATGAAGATTCACTCCTGTGTTTGCTCTGTTTTTTTCTTTCTCAGGTCTAAATTAGGACTTTTCCAATCAAGAATTAGTTTACAGAAAGCAAGTGTAAAGGTAAGAGTTCGCTTTCACAAACGTACAAACAGACCACCTTCACTTCCTCTTCAGGCAACGCTTTCAAGCACATTCTTTCATCCCATGATATGCAAACTGCTGTTTTTTTTTGGTTTTTGTTTCTCTAATTAGCCCAGAACCTAGAAAAAGGGACTCCTGTACTGAATCTTAAGGCTCCTGTCAGTTACCTTTATTTGTTATTGCAACATTATCTGTCTCTTTCCTACAGTTGAAAGCCAAGAGAAGTGACTGTAACTCAAAGGCAACACAGGCCAGGAACGACTACCTACTAACGCTAGCTGCTGCCAATGCTCACCACGACCGGTACTACCACACAGATCTACTGCACTGCATACAGGTATTTACATCAAGATTATTTTATTGAAGTGAAAAAGTGAACGTGAGAGAGAATTTGAGTCCCTCCTGTGAAAGTAAACATTTAATTAAAACCGCATATTTGTATAAAGTAGCAACTAGGCAGCTGCAATACATCGAGGACGTTTCCCTTTTACTGAAAGTAATGACTTTCAAGCTCAGAAAATACCCAGAGGGATCACCCAGTTTGTAGTTCCACATTCAAAGCGCAATTTAAGATCAATTTTTTTTCTTTTATGAGTTTGCAAAACTCAAACTGCCTTCAGAACTGCTGAAGTATTTGGAGGGGGAAATTGTAAATGAAAAAAAGAGAATATTTCACAGCTTTTAGTCTTCAAAGAGAGCCACTCTGAATATATGGTTTGATTTGAAGGGGGGTATGTGAAGGGAAACCCTTTCAAATGAGTCATCCTGGTGTCTATTCTAACCAAATGATTGGTAGGCATGAAATTAGGATTTCCACGATGTTGAATGAACTGACTTAAGGGGAATTCTGACATCGTCTGGCATTCCAAACACTGTCACAGTAGAAATATCGTGTTCAATAAATCAGATCTTTTTGCCTCATCATCAGATCTGACATCTTAATCTGACATTAAGTGCTTCATCAGGGAGTGACTGTTGGTTTTTGTGACATGGCTGCGGGGTCATGATTCTAATATGCATTTGATTATGAGTCATCTTAGACGTAGCCTCTTCTCTGTGTTCATGTTAAATTACATTCTGCAACATAGAGCACTAAGTTGTGACACAGAAGCCAAATCTCCGTCAACCCCCAGGTTTCTTTGAGCAGTGGTAGGGTGCAGCTGTTTGTGTGGTTTGTCTTTGACTTTTCTGGCACATGTATCAAAATACAGAAGAAATTAGACCATGATAGTGCGCGGCTGTGGCTCAGTTGGTAGAGTCTTACAACCGAAAGGTCGAGGGTTCGATTCCCAGCTGAGCAATGTCAATGTGTCTTTGGGCAAGACACTTAACCCCGCTTTGCTCCCACTGCTTTGGTGGCGGTGTATGACTGGATTAGTGTTGTACTTACTCTCTGATGTATGTCGCTTTGGATAAGGCAAAAAAAAGTAAATTGTAACATGATACATAAACAGCGTGCTGGGTGCTAATTCTGATTTAAACACGCATGAGCCATTCAAACTGTAATGCAATGATAGAAATGTTTGAATTCTTCTGTTCTAGTTATGATCCAGTTATCATACACACAAACTAACAGACTGCTCTGTAAACAGACAGACACACCTCAGCTACTGTGACGTCAGGCTGCTGAGTGATGCTGATGTCATCACTACTGTTATTCTCACACTCACACAGACACTCACACGCATCCAAACATCCAGGTTAGATGTCATGGTTGTTCAGACAGTCATGAGGTCTCAGACATGGCTGACGGAAAAAAGAAGAAAAGTCAGCTGTATTGTGTCTGTTTATTTGTCTTGTCCCTCCAGACATGAAGAAGTAGCATTTATATTCAGACAAATACTTGAAGATAAAGTGAAGCTTGTTAATGTCCCTATCCGTTTCAATTTGCTTGGTGCAGTTGCCTTCTCTCCCTCTCACCCTTCACATCATCTTCCTCTGTCTCCTTGTTTTGGTTTCACCCTCACCCATACACGTGCCTTAGGCGTGTGCGAGCATCTATACTATGAGGCCATTGTGAATAATAGATCCTCAGCGCCTTGCGACAGAAGGACAGGACTGCAGGGAAATATGCACATACACAAATACATGAACGCAAACACACAAAGAGAAATAAGGGACATCGCTAGAGGGAAGCAATCTGCTCATCTCATCTCCTCTCTCCTGCATTTTCTTCAGATGATGTGTTTACAGGTCCTCACCTGAAAGTCACAGATAACAGAACTCCTGTCGGGGGGGAAAAACATCTGCATCACAAAAAAATGGAAAATACGTCTTTCTTCTTGCACTTTTTTGGCTCCGTAGAGATATGTCAAGAAATAAATAGCAACATCAATAGCAGACATAAGAATAGCTACAATATGCTGTAGCAAATCAGAACAACCCAGAAAACACCTGAGTGTTTAGTAAAGCAGCAGAACTAGGTTTTTCAGCTTCCCCTTTAGTTCTTTTAGCACCATTTCCATTTCAAACAACATTGTTTTTCTCCTGATAAATATATTACAACAATAAAGGTTAATCAGCTCTGTTAAGCTACATTTCTGTTTTAAACACTGAACCATCAAGAAGAGATGATGAACTGACTGTGATAAGTGCCACAAACATACTATTTTAAATGTTTAACAGATATTAGAAATGAGGGGACTTGTAAATGAAAGCCAGGTTTAAATCTGAGCTTTACTTCACAAGTGTTCCTGTAGGAATAACATATATTCTACGCTGAGAGCTACTGTCCTTGTCAATGCGACAGTCATAGTGAAAAGGACAACGGAGGGAAAGACTGCTCCACATCGCCCTCTGCTGTTAGCATGTGATGCTAACAACTGTCCATCTTTAAAACCTAACACACTGACACACATACCATTACTGCTTTCCTGCCCTGTATGGTCTGCTGTGCTGTACTTGTTCAGGTGGATGCAGTCTTTTAACACAAA